GGGACGGTGCCCCAACCCCCCAATCGGCCCTACCCTGAGCGTGACTGGGGGTGGCATCGCAACCTCCCGATCCGCCCTGCTCTGTGCATGACAGGGGGTGGTGCCCCAACTCCCCAATCGGCCCTGCTCTGAGCCCGACCAGGGGCTGCACCTAGGGATTGGGCCTGCCCTCTGCCACCTGGGAGCAGGCCTAAGCCAGCAGGGCGTTATCTCCCGAGGGGTCCCAGACTGCGAGAGGGCACAGGCCGGGCTGAGGGACCCCCCCTTCCCCCCCGAGTGCACAAATTTTTGTGCACCGAGCCCCTAGTATATATATAAAAGCCTAAGCTACCGTTACAACCGAACAACTGGAATGACCCGAATGACCAGTTGACAAGTTGCTATGAGAAGGAAGGAGGAGCGGGGGAGGCGGGAACCGCATGGTGACGGGGCACCAAAGTGGCATCGGCGTCCGTTCCTTCTGCGCCCAGCCCGGCTACCGTTGCCTCCTCTCCCAACCCCGCCAGGGCCTTCGGGCTCTGATTGGCCTGGCCCTGATTGCTGGCCAGGTCTGGGCAATGGCAGCCATTAGCAGTGTTAAACAAAAAGCTTTCACGGCCAAAAGCTTTTCTGAATGAAAGGTTTTGCTGAGCCAAATGCTAGACAAAAAATGGACCAGGTCCTGGGGCATGCAATCTAAACCACCAGCAGCAGGGTGAGAAGGAGACGACATGCTGGCCATCAGGAATTTTTATACAATGAGTTTGGATTTAAAAAAAAAGTTAAGTTGTTTTTAGAGAATTTACATTGGTCACAGGTAAAGAGGTGGGGGAAGTCGAGGCACAGCTAGTTCTGGGACGGGTGCATTGTCCATAAGAAAGAAATATTTTCTCCTTTGGATTGGTTGTGGACAACAGTTCAAAAAGTTCATCTATAATAATAAAAGAGTAATATGCTAATTAGACCGGACATCCTTCCGGACAAAGCCTCGGCAGAGGCCCTTGGGCCGGGGTTGCGGCAGAGGCGGCAGAGGCCCCCCAGCCGCAACGGCGGGGGCAGAGGCAGAGGCGCAGCTGTGGCAGCGGGGGGCCAAAGCCCTTGCATGAATTTCGTGCATTGGGCCTCTAGTGAGTAAATAAGAAGACAGCAGAGTCTGCCCTGTTAATTCAACATTCATTCAGGAATGTGAGCAGTCTTTTGTTGTCTTTGCCATTCAGTCATTAACTGATAAACTTCTCTTGTCTCTTCCTTCCACCCATAAGCCTGCGGTAATTTAGTTTAGGATGTCTCAGAATTTCTCCTAGTCAGCAGCCAGTGCTGCCTGGGCTGGGCCCTGACTCTCTCCTCCAGACTCGGAATCGCCCCTCCCCCCACCATCTCCACCCCTAGCAACAGGCTACTCAGAGTCTGTCCCATGACTAGGATCCAGTTTCCCCTTTTCTCTCCTTAGCCCAAGGAGCTGTGGGGTGTGACGCCTGGATGGGGGAGGGGGGCTTCCTGCCGCTGGCCCATCCCCCCAGTGCCCTAACCTCAGGTTCCTCCTTCCCCAGCCCCAGCCCTAGCCCTCCTGCTGAGAGCTAGAAGTCTTTGTCTTCTCCCTCAGTCTTCATTTCCGGCCACTTCCTCATTTGGTGGAGCAGCCCAGCCCAGCCCCGTGGTCATCACATTGTCCCCCCACCTGCCTCACCCCAACCTCTAATCTTGTGTCTGTGATGTGTGTGTCTGTCTCACTGTCTGTTCCTCTCCCTCATTCTCTGTCTTACCATCATTTTCTCCTCAATCTT